AGAGAGAAAGAAAATGTGCGCGCGTACTGCTTTCTCTTGCTTATATCCCCCACTATTATCAAAATCGGACTACTCAATAAAAATTTTGCATGGTCATAAATAAAAAAAATAATACACGCGTCGGCTTGGGAACCTCCTCCGTTTTTGTCGTCAGTTAAAAAGCACCGGCTAAGTGGCTGTGCTTCATGTTTTAATCTTTTTGAAGTTATCTAAGTAACGGTAACAGCTGAAGTGAAAGGGGAAGAGATGGGGAATTAAGAGAAAACTTTGAATAAAGGGAGATGGAATATAAAATTTCTAGCCATTCTGAAGAAGATGTTTGTAGAAATTCAACAAATTCACGACGTGGACTAGTACAGGAAATAAGATTAACTTTTCTTTAATACACAGGCCATTGTGGCCTGGACTGGTCAGTAGAAATAAAATAGGCAAACAAAGCACAATAAGTAAGAAACAACCAGTACTTCAGGGAATTTAACTTATTAATGTGGAGTAGAATAGCTAAGGGGTGTTGGAGTTATAAAATTAATGATGATTTTTCGTTCAATCCAATTCAACTGTACTTTTATTAGTTACGTTGTCACTTATCACTAGCAGTAACTCAGTTAGTTAACTTAAACTGAAAAAAGTATAAAGAATAGAGAAAAATAAAAGCATTGTTTTAAAAACCTAGGGCTATCCAATCTGTTTAAACAGCAGTCTTACATATAATATTCGTTTATAAACATTAACACTGCACTATCTAAATCTAAATAGTTAAATAATGAAAAAAAGACTTGAGCCAACTCATAGTTAAATAATTAGTTTCGCTATGAGACAACTTATGAAAAAGGGATACAAAGATTAGAGTTGAATGACTAAAAACATTTTAGACGCACTTGCTTCAAAGTACATAATACTAATTTAAAAACAAATCATATTTAAGCCTAATTATCTCTATTTGACTTTTAATAATTCATAAAGATGGAATGATGTCCTAAACACGATTAAGTCTTAATTTGAATTATGGGCGCATGCGCAGCTGCATGTGGTGAAAAGACTTATTTATGTTAAAAAAAACTCTTTGCGATTAAATTGCCTAATTCTGTATTATTACCTACCACACATAATGTAAAACTATACTTTATTTATTTCTAACACGTGTAAAACAACAGTATTGTTAACTTCATTTATTAACACGGCCAGTCTACGTGAATAAAAATGGCATTGTTTAAGGTATATAATAGTCCTACATTGTATTGAACGAACATTTGAACTCTATAGAGCACACACTCAACACAATCAGTCAGTTTTAAATATAAATAAACAAAAGGTTCCTCTTACGTAGGTAAACGAATGAGATTCAAACAAACCGCCGCGAGAACTGGCCTACGTCACCTTTAAATTACATCAACTTAAAGCAAATGCTACCTTATCGCATTAAAATAAAAGCTTCTTACTTTTTAGAGGTAGGTTTCGTAAATTTTATTTGTTTATTTGAACGCCTAATAAACTTTTCTTCCAGTGCAGGAGTTAGACCACACAACACCGTAGATATTCTTAATTTTAAGTTTTGCATCGCAATGGCTTTTTCAAGATTTCAAGACCTACTGCATAATAATATTAACACACAATATTTCATAAGAATCGGTCAAGCCGTTTCGGAGGAGTTTTGTTACAAACTCTATAACACTAGAATTTTATACATGAGAAGACGTATTTCATACAGTATTGAAGATATTAAAAACTTTCTAAGATAAGAAAAAATCTCATCATAGGTAACTGCAGAAAGGGTTTGAATCCACAACCATTAGTTATTCAGGGGGCTGCCGGTGTACGGCTGCTCCGGTGGTCTGGAGTTGTTTTTCGACAGTTTGTTTTAGAGAATTAATTCGTGGAAACTTTTTTACCTTAACATTATAGCAACCGAAAAGCACAAAACAACTACAGCACAACTACAACTGCTTCAGTGCAAAGTAAAAGCCAGACGGAACGCGGGCAGCTTGCACGGACAAAGAAAAAAGTCTAACCTAAGCCAGCATCCGGCTTTAGTTAAACCATTTTAAACGCCCGACAGCTCTACACATTATACGTAACGAAAGCATAATATTCAGGAAACTTGTTAAAGAATATCACATAATGTGCACAACTTACTAGCAAGAGTATTTATACCATTCGATAGATTTAATAGAATATAAACATAGCATTATTCAAAATCATCCATCAGTCTTATCCGTCGTATGGCTGTTACTTATTACACTATTTTGTTCGACATGTCACACACACACTTCTTCACGAAAATAGTATTCAGGATTTTAAAATCATTTAACTCTCGGGTATGTATTTGGTACAAGTTATTTATAGTAAGAGCCTACAAAACATGTCAACCACTCGAAAAATCACAGTGATTAAGATAACTCAAAACTTTTTTTATTTACTTATTCTTTAAAATCTGAAAATGAATCTACCAACGTCCCGGTTTACTAATTTACACTTTCTGATAATCTTTGACCATGTTTTATGCGGCATAAGGGCAATCATAACATTTCGTCAAATTGATTATCCCTTCTCGGTTAAGTATCCATTGATAAGATACTGGCATAACAGATAATAAACTGAAGAAAGAGGTTGAGATAGGGAAGAGGGCTAAATGAGTTTTCGCTCGAATTGAAGCGCTTTAAGTATACATTTTCCATCGCATCTTACAGAAGATCAAGTGAAATAACATACCTTTTGGTGCTTTTATCCAAAGCTTTACCTCCGCCTGCAGTATAGGGGATAGGTATACGTACATTGTAATATAATTGCAGACTGTAGCTACCTCCAGGCGGACTATATGCAAGTCTCGGGGTATTAAAAAACCGGACAAGTGCGAGTCAGATTCGCCCACCGAGAATTCTGTGCAAATTTGTAACTGTACGCAACATAAACGGCCGCATCGTTTTTCATGTTAACTTAGAAGTGTGAATTTTTCACAGCTTCAAAGGCCGTAAAATTGAATTAAATGGTTTTGACAAGGTTAAAATTTGTATGGAGGTTTGTAGTAAGTCTCCGACAGACTCCAAATTTCTATGGCATGTAGAGTAAGAGTCCGTGGCCGCCAAACCTTCATTATTTTATAAAAGCTTAAATTTTTCAGCGCATGCCTCGAGCACAAGTAAGAACGATGGCTCACTATGAAATTAAGGTTATGGTGGTTTTGGCAGGTAACATACCTGTGCGCGGCCAATCGAACAGGGTACCGCATGTCACCCGCACTCCTGACGCGCATTGGGGGGACTGCGGTCCTCAGAATGCGCGCCAGGTGACCGGTGCAGGAGTATTTCCGGATTTTAGTGGCCCTGGTCAGGGCGTAGGTAGGGCCCTGTTCACTGCAACGAGCCTTAGGGCTGGCTGAAGTGGGCAGGGAGGAGTCCCACATACCTTCTTCTCGCTCCCCCAGTGGTTGAAGGACGCTTAAAGCATTTCCCAGTCACAAAAAAAAGGTAACATATCTGTTACAAAGGTATGTAACATACTAGGCATACTTTGTGAAATTATAAAACACATTTTTTTTATATTTTCATCTGTGCAGTAATACGAAATAATCTAACCCATTGCCAGACAATCAGTCTGGTGGCAACCTTTCGCCAGACACCCTTAAACGTCAATGAAATGTAATTGTACTTTCGTTACATAAAATAGCTAATTTTATGAGATATTTTTATGTACGTTTCAATCGTATATATATATATATATATTTATATATATATATATATATATATATCGTATGTATTTAACAAATACATTTAATTAGTTAGCCAAAATAGCTAGTTCAAAAAAAACGTTGAAAATCCATACATAAACAAAAAAAGGTTTTTTTGTCTGACAGCTTAAAATTTTAGTATTTTCAAATACTACTTTGGAACAATGTTAGGAACAACAAGAACAACTTGGAACAACAAAAAAAAATTGTATTTCCAAACATGAGGGGGCTATCCGTAAAGAGGATTTAATTGTATAACTGCTTAAAATTTTAGTTTTTTTTTGAATATTCTTTGGAACAATGTTATGAACAACTAAAACAACTTGGAACAAGTATTTTTTGCCTAGTAGCTAAAATTTTTGTTTTTTCATCAATGTAGAACAAACATAGAACAATCCAGAACAACCTGGATAATATAAAATTCAAAAAGTGGGGGGCTAACTTCCTTGAGGTTTTTAACTGTCTTTTTAGCTTTTCTTAAGTTTATTTCATTAACAACCAGACCGTAAGTAAAATAACTAACTAACCTTTTTAACATGTCTGTGGGTGTAATGGCTTTATTTTAAGTAATTTAAGTAACCTTTTTAACATGTCTGTGGGTGTAATGGCTTTATTTTAAGTAATTTAAGTAACGGAAAATAATTAGTAACTTAATTGTATTTATTGTTCTTTTATTATCTAAAATATAAAAAGGTATTTTACCTAAATAAAAATTGAAAGAAATTAGTAAATCATAAACTTGAAAATAGCTTTAGTACAGGATTTTTCAATAGGAACAGGGTATGTTGATAGCCGATGGTGGACATATTAGATCCTCTAATGGCGCATTTTTTTTATAGATAATTTATTAAAAGTCCGGCATTTAACAAACCAGATACTATACAGCAAAATCATTAAAAAGTATTGCCAAACGGTAGTTTCTTGATCTACCTAGCCGTCTTATGGAAACTTGTAGTCTACGAAGCCATCTTATGGAGAACACTATTCGTCAAATAGTGAAAATTTTAAACTAATGGTATGGGCTTTAAAATCCTTAAGAGATTCATGAAAGGTCGTTGCATCCTGAAAGAATAATGAACATTTTAACGCCACAGTAAAAACAAAAAAGATAGGTACAGTGAAAAGTTGTCTGTTCGAAGGTCTTACGTTTAAGGTAAAAGGTTTAAACTCCTGATTTTTAACAATAAAATAATACAAATGTTGGTGATAATGCTACATCGTATAATAATGGCCTTAGATGAGTCTCAGAGCAAATACGCAAGCCTCTTATACCTAGCGCTGAAGGTCGGTCGGACGAAATGCGCGCGCGCACCTCGGCGACTCACCGCGCCCGCCACCGCTCGCGTCAGTCGCTAGCGGGGAATCTCGCAACCACACGTACCAACTGTTATGTAAATAACGTGATAATAACTTTGTTTACACACAACGAAAACTACAGTGATAAAGTTTAGTGAAAAAAGTTACGTGCATTTATCAAAATTACTCTCCCACGCATGGTCAAAAGGTATCATCCTTCAGGAAGTTTTGACTAGAAGGTTTGTACTATAACAAATTAATTTTGTTTTGTAACTGTTTTATTATCAGTCAAATAAATTGGAATTGGCAGAAGATCAAACTAGGTAATGAGCATAATGGTTTGTTTTGACGCAACAGTAATTGCAATTTCTTTCAAGGAATACCATTTTTCGATATGATATTCCGATAGATTTTATATTATTCGAATTATATTTATTTCCTCAAAAACTATTACAGTATTAAAATTATAATTTTCATCAAGTCATACATGGTTGAAAACTTCAACACATTTGATACATGTAGCCACATTTCTTTATTAATAAAAACTAATTTCGCCGTAGCGAAATTAGTAGTTCATCCATCCTTAATTTACATAACCGGCTAGTATCTGTTAAAAATTTGGATCTGTTTTGGGATTTCCTGTTTCTTATAGATACTTTACATTCCCTACATCGTATCGTATTAATGTTATTAGCTTAAATTATTAGTATTATCTAAATTCTGGGCGGCCCTACTAAGAAATTCTTATTTTTAAATCTATTCAATCAGATTTTTGATAGATTTATTATAGTTTCGGTTGTATTTTCCTATATTGAAAGGGTTAATTGAGCCCAGGCACACAATTAAAAGATAAATTATCTCACTCATACATAAATACGTGTAAAAAACTTGCTTCGCACATCTCTGGTTTCCCGAAATCAAGGGGCTAATTTACTTATTTCGACTTTTTAATGTATATTTCTAATTTAGGCGATACGCTTCCGAGCTAAAGCAAACTGACATAAGCTGACCTCTTTCCCATGTATGAAATGAAAGGGATTATTTCGCGAAATCAATAAAAGTTTACGAGACGAACGAGACTTTATTATATTATAATAAAGTCTCGTTCGTCTCGTAAACTTTTATGATTTAGTAAATCGTAAAATCAACTCTTTTTGCATTTTCATTATTTTACAATGTATAAATAACAAAAATTTACAAAATTTGCATCATCGTCATACTTAGTTCTTTTAGATGTGTTTTTTAGATGTTGAAAGTTATTTTATCAGTTTTTTTCTAGATATAACAAAAAGTTTATTTAGTCCCCCATACAAACTTTCACCTCCCTTTATACCCCCTTAAAGAATGCTTTCTGGGATAAAAACTACCTATCCTATGTACCCCGGTACGGTACTCAAACTATATCTACTTCTACTTTATATTCTATAGATACTAGGGTAACGGATAGAATACATATACTGTGCATATATAAAAATATTGATATAGAAATGCTCGTATTCATCACACAAACATTGGCCCCTACCGGGATTCTAACCCGGGACCTCTCGAGTAGGTGACACCATAAACACGACCCGGCGTACAAACACTCGGCTACGGAGGTCGTCGATTATGTAGACATAATAGGTCTATGAAACCCGTAGGTTTCTTAGAGATTATATTAAATAAGTGACGTCATTCTCCTCCGGGAAGCAAGCAGTTAGCCACTAACTGCAGGGCAACCACAAATTTCAGATTAGAGATCTTTATTTAATCGGAAAATTTTCTGAATTTGATTCTTGTCAATATTTGTCATATCAGATTATTGACCAATGACGTATAATATAATAATATACAGACAGGTCATACGCCAACATCGTTGCATTTTAAAATGGCACAAGTAGCCACCCCCACCCGCCCCAACATCCCTTGGCAACAGCCGCGAATAGAGCGCACTAAAGTAATCTCTTTCACTCTCATGCATAAAGCAGATTTCATCTCGCTCTTTAGCCTCCACGTGTCAACGGTATCAGCAACTGTCAAAATAAATACTCACACAATATTTATACAAGAATGACTTTTAACTGTACTTACGAATAACAAGGCACTTTTTTATTGTGTCTAATAATTCCCGTGTAATTTGTGCACACATAGTGCTTTTAGTCTGGAAAAATATAAATTATTTCCACGTTGTAGCGAAGTTTAGCCGCGGCGAGAGTGCGCGCCCGATTTAATGCAAGTCGGGCAATTACCTGACTTTTGTATTGCCAAATAGGTAAAATGCAAATATAATATTTATGAAAATTTTATGATTAAAATGTAAAAAAATATAAAAGAAAGGCTACTGCAACGTTTTTATTTTACATAATGTTGTTTTTTAACAATAATTACGAATTAAAAACTACTTGAAAAAACGTATTTTAAAACACCAATCAGCGATTAGTGACGTCACTCCTGTTATGACAACTTATTTGAGGTTATGGTTGTAAAAGTGAATATTATTTTATGGGAATTTTAATTGCGTTTTTTGATAAAAATGGAAGTTGGGTTTATTAAAGCAGACTCCAGGAATTTGCCAAGAGTTAGTGTTGACATGGTTGTAACTTTTTTTTTCCAAAGTGAAGAGTTTTCAAGTGTAGAAATGAAAGGGACTAAATTACTACGGTATGTATAAATCATAGTTGTTAAACTTTGTATTTTATTCAGCGGCTTCTACACATAGCAGTTATTTTAGCTCAACAAGAGAATCTTACGGCGATAACGCAATCGGCTATGTCCAAATTAAAAGAGATGGAGAATTATGTACAGTAAAAAGTCGAGTTACTCCGGAGCATAAAGTACGTAAAGAAGGTTATCGTGTAACAGTTATTTTAAATTAAACGCAAAGCTTGGTTCAGTCCTGCCAATGTGTGGAGTGTGCCACACATTTTAAACTTTATCCTATTTTCAACGTCATTCTCCAACTGTAAAATTAAAAATATGTTATAGACAGCTTTTGTAAGTATTAGGTAGGTTACTAACGCGTTTTTACGTACAAGGAGATTAATTAAGCATATAACAAGTATATTCGCCGACTAACGTCAAAGTGATCTTCACAGCATCGAATAATGGTCTTTAGAGAATAATTGTCATTTCTCTTCGCAGCTTGAAACCACTTTTTTCTTAGTATTGGGTCAATTAAATTAATTCAATCAAAAGTCAAAAACAATTTATTTGGAAATTTTGTTGAAGTAGATGGACACATTGGCACAAAACATGAGTCAACACGGCTTTTTTTCGTAATATTAGTGGTATTGTTATGATCACCTGATGTTGATGGATAGTCCATTTTAAATTTTTACAAAAAAATATTTCAAAAGTCGAAAAATATGCAAAAGTATGGAAATTTAAAGCCAGCGACGAACAAGTACGACTAGTGACAGACAGGAGTGACGTCATCGGAACCATAGGTCCGTTTTCGCGCGAAAATTTAAACTGTCAATTTAAAACCGCATTTTTTCCGAAAAATTACAATGTTTTAATTTTTTAATATATCTGTGGTTTATTCTACATGGATTCTTTAAAATGAAAATAAAAATATTGCATCTTCCCTATTATATGCGTGTATGACGTATCTATAACTATAAAACATCATAATTATTGACAAAGTAAACTAATCAATAAATGGACAAACATCCTCAAATCAATAAAAATCTCAGCGATTTCGGGGGAACTGATTCCTATGATTGTAAATACATACTTACCTATAGATAAGTTTAGAATGCTGTAAGTTACGACTTAAAACTGCGTGTTTATTGAATGCTATGCGCAGAGTTGGTAAGTAGCCTACCTGGTGCTTTAACACTATACAATGAGAGCCAAAATTACCACGGGTCAATTCTACTGTTTAACGGCATATAATGTCTATTGAACGAACTCATTGCAAAAACCCTTCTCGAAGGGTTATCAAGGACATAATAAAGGTACTTGCTCCTTTATGCGATAGCGAACGTAATTTACATGAATGTGATTCTAAAAGTTGGTAAATAATTCGATTATACTGGAATATTCTAGTTACAATAATAATGAACAATGATATAGTAGAGAAAGGACATTGGCCAAAAATGTATAGACGCTGCACCCACGTCCGCCACGGCTTAAACTACATTTGTTTGAAAGGTATTATAGTCATGATCATTTGTGCCAAAGCGTATCAAATTCCATCCCGGGAGTCTTTAGTTATTTTAAGTTAAATAAGTACAAGTACTATGACGAACGAACATTAATGAAACAAGGGAATTAATTTAGTTAGTTCGACACAACATAGGGGGCTCAGGTATTATGGGAGTACTTCACAAGGTTTAAGGGTTTGACAAAACCGATAATTGTGTTCCATTGTCCAAAGCGTGTAAGATAAAAATCAATCAAGTGACAGGGAGCGCTCAATCACAACGAAGTAAGACGAGTCGACAATTTGCAACTGCAAGTCCTTCAACCCCAGTAAACCGTTTTGAGGTGGTTCAGTAAGTGCAAGCGCAGGATGGTCGGCAGGCTTTGTCATCTATATCTGGTTGTATTGTACGATATGGCATATTATTATGGTTACTAATAATATAAAATGAAGGCACTATAAAGTGAATTTATTTAGCTACTTAAATTTTAAGTGAATTTACTTTACATGGGCATAATCAATATGCCCACTTGTCATATGTTTTGACTACCAGGATATTTTTTTACGGTGTCTTAATAAAAAAGTCTAGTTTTTCATAGATTTATTCATACTAATTACATTGTTGGCGGAGCTGGATGCGTTTTGCCCATTGTCCTTTGTGATCACATTTATACTGCCATAAGTTATAACCATATCACTTTAGTAGATCTTGTTTGTTATTGAGTTTTTATATTTCTTGTTATTTTAGTTATTCAACTCGGGGATTTCTAAAATATTTATGAACTTGATGTCACGATAATTAAATTTATTGTTGACTGAACAGTACTTTTCGTAGTATCTAAAAATTCAGTAAATCCAGCTGCATGATGCCAAGGCAATAAGATTAAAATGTATACAGGGTGGCCGGGGAGTTGACGTTCAAGCGTAAAATTTAGATACTTTATGATGAGGAGTATCCAAATCACCCCCATGTATGTTCTAAGATTTTGCGTATTTTCGAGTTATAATTTTTTTAATGATTTTTTTCGTAATTTTCACCTAACATCAGTTTTCGATTTCTTTCTCATTCTGTTTGGACGTTTGTGGTTCAGTTTTTTTTGTGATAACTGACTA